CCATAACCAACTTCTATTAAAAGGAGGACCATAGGTATCATGTATTGCTATGATATTCACGATGCCACATATGAGATATGATTTTTGTTATTGTTTAGAAATTAGATTTTTGCAATATTTTTTTATATGAATTTTAATTCTTTTTATATATTATTTTAATAGGGATTTTGAACATCTAATTTAGGAGATTTATTTTGATATATTATATTGTTGGCTTGAATAATTTATGACATTGACCTTTTATCTAAAAAAAAGAGCCTCAACATTTTTTTTCTTTTTTTTTGGATGGTATGAATAACTGGGTAAATATGGCTAATAATCAACAAAGAAGTAAAATTTTTTTTTTTTGCTTGTAGATTTTTTGACACTTTTAGATCCCTATTTACTAGGGTATTAGACTTAGAATAAAAATTTTCGGGTTTTGATTTGAATTATTGTAGTAAAAAATTAAAGGTTTTGATTTTATTTATTATGATATTTCTATTATTTGCTAATGTGATTTACAGGGAAAACTTCAGGTAAATAATTACATATTATTATCAATTAATTATCAATATTTGAATTAAATATTATTTATTCTATTTTGATCGTAGAGTGATATGAAACTTTTATATTTTTATATTTTATATCAGCTAATAGTATTTGTTAAAAATAGTTAACATGAATATAATTAATCATTCTTATTCAATTTAAAACAAATTAATAATCCAATGATGCTTTTTTGAAAATGTTATTTCAAAATGATAATTTATTCAATTATAACTAAATCAAATCACATACAACGCACGTGCATAACACTAATTTATCTTAAATGATATGAATAACCTTAAACTTTCATCATTAAAAACCATAAGCAATATTTTCTTTATTAGTAACTTTGAATGTAAGGATATTTTCATCATTCAATTGGAGCCCCTGGAAGGTCAAATTACCTTAATTGTTCGAGCTTTTCAATCCTAAATAATGACAATTTGAAAAACCTTAGTGAATGAAAATAAAAAAGATAACATTTAGATGTTGGATCCAGATCATTTGACCCTTACCATACAAGGCTTCAAACCCTTGCAATATTTTCCCGAATATATTTTACTTTGGTCATTTTTTGCAAAAGGGTGCAGTTTCTGTAAGGCCTAGGTTTATGAAAACAAAGTAAAGCCTATCATCTGATCCTTATCTGAAAAGTAATTTGGGCATCAGAAATCTTCATAACAGCTCTAAACTAATTTCAATAGTGACTATCAAATTTGAAGCTAAAAAACTAGTACAGATCTTGCAAATCCGTGAATACTTATTTTTGGGGTGAAATAGACGGTTAATATAATGTATTACAATATATCCTATTTTTAGGTCTTGAAATCCTACTTTTTTTTTAAGGTCATAATATTGAAGGTTGATGCCTCATTGAGGGTATGACCTTTAATAGAACAAAATGGGGGACCATGATTCATGTAATCGACCACAATTAATTAGAAAAAGGATATGACGATGATGATGAATGTTAAAGGCCAAGGATCAATTTGAAGGTGTTAAAATTGCAATTTTTGCATTCACCCAAAAAAACTACAATATGTTTGGTATGGATGAAAATACTTCCAGAGAGATATTTTCACATGAAAAAACTCCTTTGTGTAATTAAGTACACACTTGTTTCATGTAAAAATATTTTTTGAAAAATATTTGCATATAAAAGAATTCTCTCATGTAGTTAGGTGTGAAAATATTTTCATACTAATTGGTCTCAGTGCATCTTTTTACACCAATTAGCAGTTAATTTGTGTAAAAAATATTTTGACACCTAACTATATGAGAGAATTTTTTCATATGACACTAAGTATGTGAATTTTATCACACTAATTAGCTCTAATGTAGTTTATATATATATCGGCAACAAGTTGGTATAAAAATACTTGCACATGTAATCATGAGGGGGGTTTCTTCACGTGAAAATAGCATGCCAAACTTACCCTTCAAGGTGAGGGCTTTTAGGTGCTCTAGCCCTGTGAAAACATTTTACTTTGGGAAAATAATGTATATATTTGTTATATTTATTGTTATTATGCGATTATCTCCAAGTTTTCATTATTACACTTATACTTGTTTTTTCAACTTCATAACAGATTTTTTTAAAAAAAACAGAGCTGTCTATTTTTGGTTTTTCAAAAACCCAAATGTTTAAAACTTTCTAAGTTTCAAAAATTAAAAAATAAGTGATTTTGATTTTTCAAAAACCGAATTGTGCCCCTTCTTGTAAGGGACATGATATTTCCTCGATTCTTTTTGTTTGAGTATCATGACGTTGGGGAGCCGGCTGTGAGAGCCTATATGTGCGAAAATGGCCACGTCTCAAGAGCATGGACTGGTTGGCCCACTTTTTTTGGGTGAATCTAGAGGGCCCTTACCTTTGGTAGGAACTGAACCAAATTGCCGAGCAATAAGTTGGAGAGACGGTTAATCTCAATTTGTTGCTTTTCGGGTGAATTGCATTTTTTCTTGATGTTGGTATTCTTTCTTCTGTCTCTAAGTTGAAATGCATTTTTCTAGTTTTGGAGCATCGAAATTCTAATGAAGATTATGTGATAATTGGATGTAGATAACAGATTTAATTTTTAGTTGCATTCCTTTCTATTCCATGTGTGACCGTTTTTATTTATTTTTCTTTGATATGTGACTTGTGTTGTAGTTTGTTTTATGGTCCTTCAGCTGCTATTGCACAAAAAGAACTGAGCAAGTCCCATGTCCCCTTGCAAAAACAAAAGTACAGTTTTTAAAAATCGAAATCAGTTAATTTTTTATTTTTGAGAAACCTCTTTGGGTTTTTTAAACTTGAAAGGTTTAAACATTTTGACTTTTGAAAAATTGAAAATGGGTAGTTCCATCTCTTTTAAAAAATTGTTCTTAAATTGAAAAAATGGGTATTGATGTAAATATAATGGAGGTATACATTACTTGCCCTTAAAACTTTCTTTTCGCAATATCAGTGTTCAAAAGATCAGCCGATTATTGAAAACATCAGGCAAGTAAATCGGGATCGGTCACTGGCCGATCTCGATTTGTCCTGATTCTGACACCCATGTATTCTGAAATTTTTTTTCAGTGTATAATCGGCTTATTTTTTGAACTAATCGGTACTAATCGACAATTTTTTTGAAAAAAATCACCCAATTTGTGCACTGTTCTAGTGAGACTTTTGAACACCATTCTCTATCATTGTAAAAATCAATTTGGGCTCTATCATTGTCCAGTTTCTCTTCCCAATGTTGGGAAGAGATCTTGGTTAGAAACCTTGTGAATAATCTGCAACATTGAGATTGAGATTTTTGTGCTTTTGGAGGTATATAAGACCCCAAGGTCACATAATTGGATTTCTTTCTTGGAGGTAAATGAATTAAGAATCAAGTGACACACCTGCTCTCTAACATGATGCCTTTAAAAAGCCGCACATGCAATTAATGACCGATTATTTATTACAACTTGTTCTACACAAAATAGCTAAAGCACAATATAAATGCATTTCATAAAATTCATTTAGTTTGTTAGTTGATTTCCAAAATAGCTAAAGCACAATATAAATGCATTTCATAAAATTAATTTAGTTTGTTAGTTGATTTTTCTTGCACTCATGAAGTTTTATGTCTATGTGAGCATAATGTATATTGTCGGCGATTTAATGAAATTGCACATGTAAAATTTATTGGAATTATGAATGCGCATATGTACTTCTAATCCTCTTTTTAAGATTTGAGTGGTACATAAAAACTATAATCCTATTTTTAAGATTGAGTTTTACATAAAAATCAAAGCTTAATTGTAGAAATCCTATGGTAACAACTCATATAATCTATTTTTAAGATGCTAATTTTTTAAGATGCTAATATTATGAAAGTAACAATCGTATGATTTTATCCATTTTTAACAATCAGGTGCAAAAATCACACGTGTACGTATGAGATTGAGATAAACACACATCTAGCTGCAACGATCCTAGGAGGGGCAGCTTTTGCAAGTACAAGAGAACATGCCCAAGTAGGTTTATTCATTTTAACTGTTTAGATAACTCCACAGATTTGATCATAAGAAGTATAATTTGCCTGATATATTCAAAGGGAAAATCCTTTTTTCAAAAAATTTTCAGGTTTTTTCTAAAACCCAATTATGCCCATAATAGTTTTTTAATCTTGCTTTTCTTATGTGACAATATAAATAAACAAAAGAGAAATGATCTTATAGGACCCTCCCCTACCCATGTGTGTAGGATCCCAAATGATTACCATTAAATTTGGCACGGATCTATATAAAAGTCAAGTCTCACACCCATGTGATAACTTTTTTAGAGATCCGTACCAACTTTAATAGTGATCCTTTGGGGTCCTATACACATGGGTGGGGGAAGGTCCCATAGGATCATTATTCTAAACAAAAAAAAAAAAATAAAAAATAAAATATATATATATATATATATATGGAAAAGTTTTTCCAACACTTATAGGTGAAAATGAATAGTATTTTTGTCTACCTTCATAACCGTCCAAATTTTATCGCGCGATCACGATTGTCCGGTAGTTTTTTATTTTTCATTTTTTTTTCTACAATCAGATGATTTGAAATTTGGAGGTTATGTACATCTTAATGAGGCACATCTAATAAAAATATAAACAAAATTATCTGTGAAAAATAA